ATCTTGTTTAAAGTGGGATTTGATAAGAACCACACACACATACTAAAAGTGTTTACTTCCAAATGAAAGTCATTTGGCAGGGTTAGAACACCGGTCTCTTCAAATCGCTACTTCGACATACACGTCAACTGCGCAAATACAACTTCCAGGAAAATAGTTTCCAAAAATGAACTTGGTTGACTAAACTGATAAACAGGGAAGCGATGGCTGGATAGAAGAGCTAAATTAAAGCTTACACGTAGATTATAAACATCTTATACGATAAGTAAGTGAGCACGAGGACAAAAAAAAAGAAAAATATAAGTAGCGTCATGAGGGTGTGGTTTCCCCAATGGGATGTAACTTGTCATTATAACGCTTAGCTTCTCTTAACAATAAGAACATAGTTATCTACCTGCAGAACCACTACAAATAATGTTACGTGAAAGAAGCTGACGTCATAAGAGAGTAGTGACGTCACGCCTAAGCTATTGTTGCGTGTCCACACTTTGCTAATACGCGAATTGCGTGACTTCAGAAGTGCGTTTTCTTTTTAAATAGTATACATGCTTTAAATACAAACGATTTTTTTCCCCCTTTATGGACATTTCGTGTACTCATTGCTTGGCTGTTCTTCTATTTATATCTTTTTAATCATTCACACCCTTAAAAAAAAAGATATGTATTACATACGGTTCACTTTTCAAAAAAACATATGTATTACACACGGTTCTCGTGTATTTGCAGTTGGGTAGACAAGAAAAAATTAAAGGAAGTAAACAGTACTTTGTTTAGTCTAAATATTAGTTATAACTTGTTTAAGATAATTTTATCCTTTATTAAAATAGCTACAGGCTTCAACTTTTTATTTATGTCTTTATTCTACTGGCCAGTCGCGTCCTGGCGGTTATCGTGTTGGGCTGCGGATCGAGGAATCCGGGGGTTTAGAAACGCGAAGCTACAAGACACGCATTGCGCTTATAGATGAAAGCGTGATAAAAATGACAATCAAACCTGCTACTAGGTTTAAAGTCAGTACAGCGGTAGGTGCTACTGGTTGGCTACCTTCCCTAGGAGTTTCTTATTTAGCCATCCAGTCCATGTCGTTCATGTGACGTCTATTTTACTGTTAGCCACAAATAACAAAATGTGAAAAAAAAGTATGGATAACAGTAACCGTAAATTACGTGTCAAAACAATATTATGAAGGAAACATTAACATTTTACGTGATTGAAGGTTAATCTTATCTATGAAAATATTGTTTTTGTACGTGATTGAAGGTTAATCTTATCTATGAAAATATTGTTTTGGTACGTGATTGAAGGTTAATCTTATCTACGAAAATATTGTTTTGGTACGTGATTGAAGGTTAATCTTATCTACGAAAATGTTGTTTTGGTACGTGATTGAAGGTTAATCTTATCTATGAAAATATTGTTTTGGTACGTGATTGAAGGTTAATCTTATCTATGAAAATGTTGTTTTGGTACGTGATTGAAGGTTAATCTTATCTATGAAAATATTGTTTGAGTACGTGATTAAAAGTTAATCCTATCTTTGAAAACTTTTTAGTACTTGATTGAAGATTAATGTTATACCAAAACAACATTTTCGTAGATAAGATTAACCTTCAATCACGTACCAAAACAATATTTTCAAGGATAAGATTAACCTTCAATCACGTACAAAAACAATATTTTCATAGATAAGATTAATCTTCAATCACATGCCATAACAATATTTTCAAGAATAAGATTAACCTTCAATCACGTACAAAAACAACATTATCTTTCAATCACGTGCCATAACAATATTTTCAAGGATAAGATTTACTTTGAATCACGTACCATAACAATATTTTCATAGATAAGATTATCCTTCAATCAAGTGCCATAATAATATTATCAAGTGGAATAATGATGTAATTCAGATAAATAAACATAAATATTCTATTTGACATTGTTCAGCGACATAATGTTTGCTTTTTTTGGTAGTAATTAAAGTGTTTAAGTTTTCATGGTTTTTTTTGGAGCCTTTCAATTCAACGGTGACACTTTTATGAACATTGTTATTAATCGATATTATCAGTAAAATTTGAAAAACGTGAACAATTTCGTCTATTCTTTGAGAAACTTACACAACACGAAACCTACATCCAGTAATAAATTATATTAAAGAAATAATGGAATATGCCTTCTTATTAACATCATAGCTGCAGTTAGACACAAGATTATTTCACGACACCACCACCCTCTGAATATTTCAGCCAATGACTTTATGATTAGAATTAATTATAGAAACATAATGAGGTTTTAGTACTGCTTTTATGTGTACACTACTAAAGTTGGCCAGGTGGTTAGGGCGCTCGACTCGCAATCTG